ATATAATATCGTTCGCAACTTGCATTCGCTGTTAAAAATATCGATCACATTACCTGTCATTTACAGTAGAGCGATCTTTTTTAACTCCTAAAAGATTGAAAACTCATTAAAGAAGTTTTACTGAAAAAAACAAGTTGTTTGGTTTGGTTTTAATGGAGCGTTGATGATCCCATGAAAGAAGTAATTGAGCAGTTCGCAGCCAAAAGGGGAACAATATTGAATTTTTGATTCAATATATTCTTATTAGTGTGGATATTTTGTTGATTGCCTGACATTTAGAGAATATATTGATATTGATATATTGAAGTACAGTTTATATATTTACATGTAACATATCGTGTTTTTCAAAAGTCTCAGATCCAGTAACTTGGCCAAGATATGTTTATCTGCTCTGCCATGTACTAGATCTATAGACTTTCTAAAAAAGTGTACATTTTATGATTATAACTAAGCAGTGAGTAGTTTGAGTTCTGCACAAAACCATATTGCCTATCAGTGATAACATTATGTTTGTGAAAAAAATCCAACAGTCTTTTTTTTACCACCTGTTCATATATTTTTGCTAAGTTGTTTATAACAGATATTGGTCTATAATTACTTGGTTCACGACGGTCACCTGATTTGAAAATTGGAGTGATGAGAGACTCTTTCCATTTCTCTGGAATTTTTCCACTTGATAAGCATAGATTAATTATGTGTACTAGTGGGGATAGGATAAATTCATGAATGTATTGTATGGTTTTAACTGAGAGTTTGTCTGGACCTGAAGAACAATTATTTTTCAGTTTAGATATCTGAATAATGATTTCATTTTTTGTTGCGGGTTCTAAATATATGGTTGAATCATTTCTTGCTAAGGAGTGTCTGGCTGAATTCATTTTGGGAATTTTTTCTGACATATTGATACCGAGATTGGTGTAAAAATTCAGCTTCCTCTATTTTGTGCTGATAAAATTCATTTTTTGTTGGTTATTTTAAAATTGGTTATTCTAAAATTTTATTAAAAAAATAAATGGTGTAACATAAACCTCCTCTTGCTCTTCAAGCATCTACGGATAAAATCACATAAAACCATTTTTGCTGGAGAGACTTTTGAAATCGTGACTTAGTTTTCCTCAAACTAGAGGAATGTTTCTGTAGTGGCTCCAAATACCCTGCAGAAACAAAAGTTTCGTAACATATTATTTTCAAACACTTTGTATCTACAACTTCACCACCAGAAATAAACTTTTGGATACAGCCTTGAGTTGATTCTTTAGTGGTTGATTCTCTATTTATCCAATTATGGTCAACTTGTTCAAGAAAATGCAATTTTGTGAAATAATAGTATAAAACCAAATGTTATTATGTTTTTGGTATTATTATGGTTTTGAACGAATTGAAATCTAAAGGTCAACGAAATGAACAAGAGAACACCACAATCGAAAACATGAAAAGTTAAGTTTGCCATGGAATTAACCGGACCATTTTTAAGATTGGATAAATATCTGAATGAGGTTTCCTTAAAGATATACAAGGTCTACTGATCCGATTCCTTAAGATTTTCTTATAATTATTATTGAATATGACATCAAGGGTTTTACTAAGCGCACTTCATCACTGGTAATAGATTCCTTTGTGGTATGTTATTTAAAGTATGTATGGTATCAGTTTGTATTACTTTTTCGCTTAGATAATTCCATGAGTAAACAATTCTGCTACTTACAAATTTTTTTCTAGTAAAGATATCTAGAAGACAATAGTAGTTGAGACGTTTTATGTTCTTGATTTTCAAATTAATGTTAAGCATTTAGTATAATTGACCATGCTTACCATCTTGAAATCCTGAACGAGGATTTTTCACAATCAGTGTTAATAAAACAAATGTTATTGCCTGTGTAAACACCAATTTTATCTAACACTACTAAACTAGTTTGATAAAACTTATTGAAAAGAGGATTGGAGTTATAAAACAGGATTTAATTATTCGTGTAAACGGATAAGACCTCCCTTCCTGCTTAACTCAATAAGAAAAGGGCAAGTGTTGGATCAAATTCAACAGAAAAAGATTTAGGTCAACCAAATATTTGAAAGCTGCCAACCATATACCAACAAGTTTCAGAAGTTCAAATATAAATCACAGTAGATAATAAATTTTTTGCTTCTGTCTTATCTGATAGCTCATATGTCGAATTTATGACAGTCAAATATGCTGTGTTGACAATAACGACAGTTAGGAACTAATGTTATACTGCTAGAGGTGCAGTTCTGCTTGATCCATGTAAATACTTTCCAGATGGCAGATGTTAAAACCCCGGCTGGCTGTTATAACACCGGATGTTATACGCTCGCGTAAACATAGCCATTGATATAATTTAATACCTAGGCTTGGGTCGTTGTGATATTACTTTGATAATTGCATAGAACTGGCTGATACTTGATGAAAATCCATATTAAAAAACTAATCAATATAGTTTAGTTCATTGTAGGATTTTCACTATAAAAGGGTTTTACAAAAACCGCAACACGTGTTTCGCTATACAATAGCTTCCTCAAGCATAAACTGAGATACTTCTAAATTACAACCATTTTATACTCTAACCTAGTACCTACTCGTCTACCTAAATAATGAATCTACCTGAAAAGGTCAGGTATGAATTCATTAACAATATCAATAAGTTTTTTTGACAGTATACCTGTAAATATACTCAACTATTTTTACCTGCAAATGAACAGATTCAATAATGGCGAATTACTCAATTCAGTTTGATCATTCATAAAATGTTGAGAGTTTTTGAATTTGTTTATTTCCATACTCAATAACAGGTTAAGTTTCAAACCTTTCTTCTGAATTTGGAGGGGTTTGTATTCATGGGTGAACTCATGTCCCTCTGAGATTAAATGACTGGCATATGCGGAATTTATTTTTCCATTCTGAAAACTATATTTTTATTCGCTTATGCGGGCTTTGAACGTTCTACCAGTTTGACCTATATAAAACATCGGACATGACCCACACGATAATTTATACACTTTTATCTTTGTTATTTGCATGCCTAAGTTGTTGTTGGTTATGAAAGCAGTATTTACACCTTTGCTGCGCAGAAAATCTGAAATATTTGTAATGGGTTGGCCTAAGTAGGTTAAGGTTCTATAACTTTTATCCTCTTCTCTTCGAATTGGATAAAGTTCTTATACATATGTATACATAATGTATAACTTATGGCAATGCTTTAGAAACTTCTTCACAAATCTGTGAATTTCCAATAAAACAGTAAATATATACAAAGTAGGAAAAGGCATTATATCCTACAATGTCAAAATAGGTTGACAATGTTCGTAAAAACCTGCATTAGCAAGGATTCTCAAAGCTTTTTTTCTGGTATCTGAATATATTCATTGAGTGTGACGAATGACCCTCCATAGAATCAACGATCATTTACTGATTGAATTTCTTCACGCTTCTTCTTTTTCAACAGTTATTTCTATTGTATCAAAAAAACTCAACTTTAGCATGAAATTTGAAAACTTTCTGCTACGTTTATTACAAAGTATTTTAAGATTCCAAAGTTTGATGAATAATTAAGAAATGGTGCTTACCTCGCCCTCCATGATCTCCATTATCGTTTTCAGCATTAAAGTCATCAAATCCACCTTGTTGTGTATCATCTCCCCAACCGTCATTACCATCACCGTTTCGTTCTCGGAAGCCACCTCTTCCTAAAAAGTAACAATAATCACTAATAAAATCTCATATCCAATGAAACAAAAATTTTCACAATATATTGAAAAATTTGAAAAACATCCCCATTTTGAAAAATCAACCTTTGTGTAACGGGCTCATTTAACAAATTTTTTTTATTTCATAATTTGAAAGTTTATATTTCAAATAGTACATCTGCAAAAAATCTGAATTTTCACTCTTTATCTTCCCCCTCAAATTAATTGTTGAATGTGGCGTTCACCGAAATGGGGCTTGGTCGAACTTGACGTCACATCAGTCGACTCGGCGACAAGGGACTGCTGGCGGATTAGCGAAATACGTGTGCTAAAGCCGTGGAAAGCAAGTTGTGTGTTGTTTACTGCAGTATGTTAACTGCGTGAATAGTGATAAAAAAATAACGTTACAAGTATTGCATCGTTCCTAAATGCAAGAATTCTTCGCTAACTGCACCAGACAAAATTTTTATTTCACTATTACGAAAGTTATGGCAGCGCGCTATGCGGAGGGCCGACTTTGTATCTGCTAAGGGAACACATTTTTGTTGCGAATATCATTTTAATGTAAGTATGAATGATAATGATCAATAAAAAAAAATATAGTTTACTCTGAGCACTACTTTAAATTTTAGGTTGAAACAGGCTTAAAAAATTACATACCTATACCTATATCAAAACTATGAAAGTGGGAAAAATTATATTGAAACCAGGCGTAATTCCGCATATATTTGAGTGCCGTATTGATAGATGGACGGCTCATACATCTAAAGCTCCACCGTTTGTTCAAAAAAAGGAAAAACAAATTTTGTTGAATACTTGTAACGTAGATATCGATGAAAATCAAATCATGTCTCATGAAACAGGTACACACCTTTGATGTTGGAATTCAAGTTAATAAACATGTTCTTCATATATCAAAAGCTAAGCAGACCGTAAATATATGTACCACCGGAAAAGAAATAGAAAATACAGAAAGTCTTTCTTATTAGTCAGTGGGCTATGCTCTAAAAGAATTCAGATTTTCAATTGTGGAATATCATTGACTTTAGGTCGATGATGGTCACTATCTTGCACTGATGAGTGGCTAATAAGCCTGAAACCGGTCTGGAAGTGTGCCCGTTCCATAATTGAAGGTCGACTCTTTCAGTTGTATTGGCAATTGCATATGCAGGAAATTTTCTGTGAAGATTCCTGCACTGACGCCTGTCGGCGTCAGGGCTTGAACGTTTGAAGTTCTTTCTAGACTTACAGAAAGTTAAAACCTGGTGTGACTCAAACTATCTTTGCTTCAACGGAAATAAAACCAAAATCCTGACCTTCAAGTTCAATTATGAAAATCTGACCTTGAATGAACAAATCATAAATAACAATACCAGCATAAAATTCTTAGGTATATACATTGATGATAAATTACTATTTGATGACCATGTAAGGACCATAAACAAAAACCTAGGCTCGGGCTGTTATGCAATCAGAGTTATCACTACGGAACTCGGAACAAAGGCAGGCAGAATGGCTTACTTTTCTCTCATTGAATCACACTTAATGTATGGCATTTCGATCTGGGATTTTTGCTGTTATCAGCTAATGAGCTCAGTATTTGTCTTACAAAAAAGAGCTCTCAGATATTTATCAAAAGCTATAATAAAAAACTAAATTAGCCTGAATGAGCCCATTATCAGAGCAAGTTTGGCTCTGAAATAAACAAGTAAAACAACAAAGGCAATATGCCTACAGGGCAGGTAGATAGATAGATCTTCATTTGATCTGGTTACATATACATATAATGTACGCATATAAACTCCGAGAAGTGTGGAACATGTCAGTAATAAATAACAAATAAAAGCTTTATATACATAATCAACATTATCACACATGTAGTTTCAAGACAAAAAAAACATAAAATCAGGCATATATAAATAACATTCATATAGTTAGCATACTATCATTTAAGAATTTCTGCATGCTATAATAAGATTTTTCTACGAGGTAGTTCTCCAAACGACATTTCATTGTTGAAACTGAAAGATTTCTTAGAATGGAAATTTATTGTAAACGTTTATAACACTATATTTGACATTTCTCTGTATGTATGTATAGTTGCATTTCTCATTTCTAAGATCATTCTTTGTTCTTGTGTTGTATATGTGTTTCCTTTTTTAAATATAGCTTCAACAGATGCCACTTTCAATACTTCTGGGAATACTGCTTGTGAAGAACATAAATTTATAAAATAAGTCAAATGATAGGCTATGACACCTGCTGTTTCTTTCAATAGGTACATCAGAATCTGATCTTCACCAACAGATTTTTTATTTTTCAAGTTGTTCAATAGATTCTATAATTTATCATTTTTCATCACCACCCTTCAGAGACACTACTAACAATAAAAGTCAACAACGAAATGGTAAGAAGCAAGCAATCAGTAAAATACTTGGGAATTAACATTGACCACAAAATCAACTTGAACGGCCATACAAAAATGATTGAAAAGAAATACATCAATAGAGGAAAACACTTTCGGATTCTGACATTTATAAAAAGAGGAATCAACACCAAAACTGCAACTAAAACATATAAAATGATCTGTCGTCCACTTCTCGAATATGCACATGTAATTTATTCAAGTTGTCGTAATCCTGCATTAAAAAATTTTCAAACAGCTGAAACATTCACACTAAGGAGTATTACCAAAATGCGCCACCCTCAGAACATACTACACAATCCCTCAAATGCAGTGCTTTATAGAACAACAAAAGTGAAACCTAGATAGATAGATAGATAGATAGATAGATAGATAGATAGATAGATAGATAGATAGATAGATAGATAGATAGATAGATAGATAGATAGATAGATAGATAGATAGATAGATAGATCTTTATTTAAAATAGGTAACCCTAATATACATATATATCCCAATTAAATCAACCTATAAAGGAGAGACTATCAGACCTAGGAAACCGCTTTGCTAAAAATGAAACTAACTTGGAGACCCTACAGGCATTATGTAGGAAAAGAGTTGAAGGACAACCATCCAAATTCTAATACCCGCAAAAAACTATTTGGAAAAACTTCAAACCTCTCTCATAATTTATTATAGATTTTCTTTTCAGAAATATAATGTACTTCAAATCTATTATGTGAGCATATGTAAAAAATCACTGCAAATATTTAAAAATAGTGCACGGACTGAAGGACTTCGGCCGATGGCTTTTTGGTATTCACCAATAAACGACATTTATTATTATTATTTAAATTCTATAAAATCAAGCGGAGTGTCCAAAGTTCAAAGAAAAAAGCATCATCACATTCTTTTATTTTTGTATAATCTGGGTAATCTGGTTTATTTAGGTCAGGGCAAGCTTCACTCAAATACTTATTGATTTGATTTACTATGGTTTATGAATCTTTATATTTTTTTGCAAAACTTTCTAGGATATTGTTTTTGTGGTAGCTGGGTTTTGTTATTTTTTTGATTAATGACCATGTAGCTTTGGTTTTATTTTCGGCTTTCATTATATATTCAGTGTTAGACATTTTTTTAGCAGCTGCAATAACTTTACAGAGAACGGCACAATACTTTTTGAAATACTGAGTACTTATCAGCCCTAGTGTCTTCTTTTTGTATAATGAGAGCGTTTTCTCGAGCAAGACTTTTTTATACCCCTTGTNATGGTTTTACCATTATCCTGATTATTTTTTGGTAACATTATAAGATTTCTTCGGACAGGTTTATGTGTCGGAGATTGAGACCGGTTTCTGTTTCTGTTTTTCATTTGTCTTCTTGACTTTACCAAAGTAAAATTTTCATCTTCCCAAGTGTCCTGTTCTTCCACTTCACCTTGCATTTCATGAGAGTTTTGTTTGTAAACAAGTTCACTACCATCTGTTTGTGTTTGCCAGTTTTTTGTGCCACTGAGGAATTCCAGATCGTCATCTTTATCTTTGTAGTTTTTATTGAGACCTGTTTTTATGCTGCTAAGTTTATCTGATAGCTCCTTCACTTTTTCTTCCAATAATAATTTATTTTGAAAGATAATTGAATATTTTTCGTCTTTCTCCCTTATAATTTGCCTAAGTAAGACATTTTCTTCTTTCCACCATTTCATTGTATCCGCATCACTTTGTTGATTACTCACTGGATTTTCTTGAACTGATATGTATCCTTTTACATGTCCACTCACTTCATCTGCACAGCAGACAATTCTGACTTCATCAATGAACTCATTTTTTTTTTTCTATCAACGCAACTTCTGTGATATGTTTTGCCACATTTGATACAAACTGTGACTTGCACTGGTTTAGTTTTGCAGCATTCAAACGTTTTTGTGGGCTTTTTATTAACGAGTTCTTTATCGACTTTTACATTGTCGGCCATCTTGAACTATATATAACCTATATAGTATAACCTTAAATGTAGTGAATTTTTCATGAACTAAATCGATTATTTCTTCCATGTTTTCAAAGAAAATATCAAATGATCCTAAGCCAGCTCTGTAAACACATACAATTACAATTTTCATTTTCCTAATTACTACACTTCCACATTCCAAATGACCTTCAATACTTTTTCTGACAACACTGTCTACACTCTCCGCATCTAAATTGTATGTTGTGTAGATACTGACTTCTCCATGCTGCATTAATTTCCAGGAAAATGCTGATTTCAATTTGTATCCTTGAATTTGTATACCCTCCATTTCGGATTCTAAGAGCCAATGCTCTGTTATGCATTACATTTTTGGCTTTGATGATAGTCTAGAAATATTTCAACTTCATCAGTTTTGTTCCTGCTATATATTTATCCGTGGTCGATCCACTATTTCAAATTTGCTACACGGTGTCAACCATTGGTCTTGAGAACTTGACATGATTTCTCCTGTCGATGTTATCTACACTGACTTTGAAAAAGCATTTGACAAGAGTCCCACATGAAAGACCACTATTACAGCATTTTTGTGTTACTGACCCCTTGCTGCGATGGATTCGAGATTTTTTTATCAAATAGATCTTACTATGTTTGAAAAGATGATAAACTTTCAAGGCATACCCAGCAGTAAGTGGTGTTTCCCAGGATCACTTAGTGATTGAAACGCGTGCCAAGGTATTAAAAATAACGGTTTGGTGTTGGGATAGAACTCCAGTAATATTCATTAGTACACCGAAGGTTCTAAACAGTGCACCACCAGTACAAATTTAAATTTTCATTGCTTACCCCCACCACGACCACCACCTCTTCTGCCACGACTGCCACGATTATTTCCGCCAGTATTCTTAGATTCAGAGTCACCCCATTTGTCTGAAAAACCTCCAATGTTTCCGCCAAAATTATTCGATTTCCAATCGTCCACATTAGAATTCACAGCCTTAAATCCTCTACCAGCAGTAAACTTTTTTCCTCCCTCTGCAGCAAATCCCACATTCTAAAAAAAGCAAATGTAAAAATGATATGAGATAGTGTAAATGAATTATTACCGCTGAGGCTGGAGAGATTACATCACCATCATCCCAATCATCATCCATTTTTCAAACTGTAAAGAAAGAATGAGTTAATGGAAACTTCTCTTATATGTTTAGTAGTGCCTACACAAACAGTAATATGTGAATAGTTACTGACATGAGGGGAAGTAAGTTTTTCAATGATCATCAATCATTGCCAAGTTTTGTTATGATTAGTATGTGGTATAGTATGGTGGTGAAGACACAAAGGTATAGGTAGTAGTTCGGCACATGATAACGTTTAGAAATACTGTACGAAAATTCAATTTGTACATTTGGAAAGAATTACAGTACATAAAAAGATGTAAATTAGTTGCCTTTCCCAGTAATTTTTCTCTCACCCAGTCATGAAAATGGTCTTTATTGTACTCGAAAAGAAAATCTTAAAACATAGAAAAAAACCGGCAAAGAAATCAAGTTGACAATAAGGATTTCTATAGTATATAGTACTCCAAAAACTGTGCATTAAATGCATTTAACTTTACACGCTCAGAAACAAATTTCTTGACATATAATTGGAGCCGTTAATCCTCTTTTCTCTCTCTCTGAAGCGAACAACAAACAATAAATTTGTCATCGCTCTATCTGGTAAACAAGGTACTAACCAACCGCATATCCAAAATTCACCCAATTCCAATTTGTTTTTTGTGTTCAGCTTGGTTAGAGGAATGATACTCATCAACTTTAGGTTGATGATGACAACTACCTTGCACTGACAAGAGGCCAAATAGCCCGAAACCGGTCTGCAAGTGTGTCCGTTCCTATAATTGAAAATCGATTCCAGCAGTTGTATCACAACCAGCATTTGCAGAAAATACTTTTGTGAAGATTTCTGCACTGACACCTATCGGATATAATCCAACTCCCTTCGTGATATTAGCCAGGGAAATAGTTGTTTTCTGACAGGTGTCAATTAACCTACAGTGTAGGTAAGTCCAGATTAGCCTGAACAAATTGTTCTTTTAGTTAATTTGATTTACAGCCAGTTTTTAAGTATGCCCACTGAATATATGTGAAGTTTTGTTTCTTATAAGAGAAATTAAGCGTATTTTGGATATGCAGTTGGTTAGTACATACCTTGTTTACCAAATGGAGCGATGACAAATTTGTTGTTTGTTGTTCGCTTCAGCTTGGTTAAAGGAATGATACTCTGAAAGGAATTCGACTTTTAATTATGGAATATCATCAACTTTAGGTTATTAATGGTCACTACCTTGTACGAGAAACCAAATATCCCGAAAACGGTCTGCAAGTGAGCCCGATTCCTATAATTGAAAATCGATTCCAGCAGTTGTATCGCCAACAGCATATGCAGGAAATACTTCTGTGAAGATTCCTGCACTGCCACCTGTTGGATATAATCCAACACCCTTCCTGGTATTAGCCAGGGGAATATTTGTTTTCTAATAGGTGTCAGTCCATTAACCTACAGTGTAGGTCAGTCGAGAGTGGCCTGAATAAATTGTTCTATTATTTAATTCAATTTTATGTGAAAAGCTCACAATCAAGCAGTGGCTGTTCCAGCCAAGAGGCGCTCCCCCCTTGGACGCAGAAAATGTTCAATTATGAGACTCAAGCTAGTCCTACATTCCTGCCCATTACCAAACTGCAACCGATAACCGGATTGCTACACGAGTCCTTTTAACTTATTTGAATAAAAGAACTGTCACTGATTCAAAATAATATTGTCAATCACTAATTATTACATTTAAATTACGAGTGTCCTGTGAAGAAAGATGCTGGTTATGATGTTATATCTTAATTTTCATTTACTGATAGTGAAAAGTTCATTTGAAGTGCCCCCTCTTCAATAAATTCCTATATCTGCTCCTAGAATCAAGTATTGTTGAATGTGTTGATGAAATCGGAATTTTCAAATAATGTTAAATATCCAAATGATAAAATTATCAAATATACAACTAGTGGAATTTAAAAAACAAAAACAAACATTGTATAACACGTCTGTTGATGGGGACAATTCAATAATGCAATTTAAAAAAGTTATGATGAATAAATTAATTTCCATGAAGCTGGGGGAAATTGGGATCTATGGCAATAAATACTATGTCTGAACTGCCTAAGTATATTAATTACCAAATATATTCAACCAAACATAAAAATTTCGCAAAACTCTTCTTTTTGCAACTGTGGAATGTCTTGAAGTCCTAAGGAAGTGACGAGATCTCTAATGCCTTACTTAGGCAAGCTTGCGAAATAATACTTACAACTCTAACATACCTAATGAATCTATCGATTTAACAAGGCATATTTCCCTCAAAACTCAAGATCGCGCATGTTATTCCTTTGCATAAAGAAGGGTAATGAAGAAAATATAGAGAATTATAGATTATGTTCAAGTATTGGGAAGGTTTTTGAAGCAGTTGCCAATGACAGATTACTGAGCTTAAATACTAATAATAGATTGTCCGATTGTCAATATGGATTCACAAAAAAATAGAAGCACTGACACTGCCTTATGAGAGTTCATTAATGAAATCTCAAAAGTTCTCGACAAAAAACTCACAGCGCTAGTGCTGTTTATAGACTTTTGTAAGGTGTTTAATTCTGTAAATAACAACATTCTCCTATATAAATTAGAAAGATATGGTATTAGAGGTATTAAACTAAAGTGATCTACCTCATACGTTAAGTGCCACATATCAACAGGTTAAATGTAACAATTTCGTTTCAGAATCGAGGCCCATTGATATTGGCGTCCCACAATGCTCAATTTTGGGACGTACCTTGTTTTTAATTTATGTAAAGGATTAACTGAAATCCATGAAAGAACATGGAACTGAATTGGTAGCTTATGTGGATGATACTTATCTAATTGTAACATATATTTCAAGTGCCATAAGAAAGTCGAAGTAGCGTACACTAATGTAATTGAATGGATTAACAAAAAGCGGTCATGCCTAAATGTTGACAAAACGAATATCAAGAAACCCCCATGCAAGAATACGACATAGACACCCAAAAGAAACACTGTTAGAAAAATTAACACAACTTTATCAATGAAATTGTTTTGTTTGTTCATTTTTATATCCATATAATATTTTTTTTGACATTGTAAAATAAGGTGTTATTTCAAAGCAATTTTGTTACATGAGCGGAAGGACTTCGGTCAATAGCCAGATGAGCAAAATTGTAATTTTGTTCAATAAATTACAATTATTATTATTATTGCACAGCAGAGAAGAAATTGAATTCCCATTCAAATAAGTGGCATTTGAACTTTCTACGTTTTTGACTTTAATATCACTTCAGAACTTTCTGATTATATAGAAATATTCAGCCTGCTCTGTATTACTACTTACATGTGTAGGTCTCAATACCAAAATAAACTCTGAAACTTCTCTAACTCCATAAACAGAATAACAATTTGTCACATTGGTGACTTCATTGATAAAGATTTCATGGAATTGGAGAACAACAGGAAAATGGATTTTTTTAAAGAACAGAACAAGAATAATAGTTGTTAAAAAAAAAATCTGCATTTCCGTTAACCAGCTGTTGCCCCCGTACGAACGACAACTCTCAAAAGTCGAAAGTTGTGCGAGCTAAGGGCTAAGGACTAACGAGGTCTTACCATTTGTTGTAATTTTCCTTTTACACCATGAGTACTTCAATTATGAATTTTACTTGATTTGTTTTACTAAAACTTTTACTTTACATTATTTTTTTAATGAGAATATTTTCTGTTTTTGTTTCAAAGTAATTTATTCTTCACTAAATGCTTATTTATCGATTTGATCCCTTTAAATAGCTCATTTGGTTCGGCCATCGAGTTATGATCAATATTGAATTTGGAAAATGTCATTTCTATTTTAAAAAACATTTAGATATTGTTTGAAATACAAAAATTACTAGGTGAATTGAGATATGTATTGAAAAGAACCTTTCAGTTGTATTTTCTTCAAATCATTTTCTATTACAGAAATCCTATCCTTTAGAGCATCTAGATTTAAAGTTCGAGTCTTATTGCTTTCATCAAAAGTGTTGATAGATTTGAAAACAAATTATTTGTACAATCACAATATTTATTGCATTATCATATCTTTCAGCATCACTTTGGTGTAAGTTACTACTTATGGCTTCAATTATCAATCTTGAAGTCATTCAATTGATTCGATTGGTTTTTAATTTTATGTTCTAGTATAAATGCTGGAAATTTCAGAAAGGTCATCTGAATGTTTTGGGGTGATAGTTTCAATAGATTTTATAAGCATTTTAAATTTACCTTGTATTGACCTACATGTAGATCACTCAACTTTATTGAGTAAACTCAATTATTATGGTATTCGGGGAAACACGCTTGACCTATTCTCCTCTTACTTATGCAACAGAACTCAGACTGTTGAATGTAATAATGTAAGAAGTAATCCCCTTGAAATAATGAGGGGATTATTCGATAGATGGAGGTCAAAAATTTGTTTGAATGACACCACATGCTGATAAGGCATTCAAAGCACAGAAAAAAATATTAGGAACTATGTTCAATGTCCATCCACTATGCTTAGTCGTTAACTAAGATTATTTTGTATTTTAAATTGAATGGCAAATAGAAAAAAAATATTATTATCAACATGTAAAGACCTCTTTAAAAGATCGCAAATAAAAACTTTGCTCAGCTTATACATATTTCAAATCGATATTAAAGAAAATGAAAACAGGTTGAAAAACATGAGTACACTCACATGACACACAAATGAAAGGAAGTCTACACCAGAGTTACTCACGATTACAAATCTGAAAGAACTTGCCTGACTACATAGGAATTAAAACATATAATAAACTAGTACTATGTTGCTGTATCGCTGTTGTTCCAATGTTTTGACAGAATCAGAATCAACGAACTTAGGCGTGCGCAGCGTTACAGAACAGTGCTTTGAAAAATTGTTCTACAGCGCCATCTAGTGGCGAGTTACAGAAAAATTGATAGCCTAAAAACCTTCTCTATGAAAAATTACTTATAGATGTTAAGTTTCATCACGATTGGTTGAGCAATGTAGAAGTTTATCACTTACCAACAACCAACAAACATCCATTTGTATATATATGATTCAAATATATCTGTGAGCTTTAACGAGATATCTGTTATATGTCTAATATGTCATTTAGCATTAAACTCAAACGTTTTTTGACAAATATTTTATAGTATAGAAAAGTTTCTCAACTTTTAAAAATGTATTTTTGTTTCTCAACTTTTGAAATGTATTTCGTTTTTTAATATCAGTTTTCAAACTCTTGACTTACTACTATTAATTCTCAAAATTTTGACTCACTAATTTTAATTATAACTTTAATTTCACTTATTTTAATGTTAATTATCTAAAATGCATATTTACTTCCCATTTTTCTGACTAGTCCGATAAAGACGCATCTGTCTTTGATCTTTGTTGATTTAATATTTATGTATTTTTTTGTAATGAATAAATTGATTTCATTTGATTATGTGATTTTGTTCTAAGCATTTCCAAGTTTTAGAGGCGATAGGCCAGGATTTTACTTATGCCATGGAATTTTGGGTACTTCTACAAATGCAATATACCTTCTTAAAGAAGATTATTTCCGAAAAATTTATAAATTCAGGGTCCATAAGAATTCTGGCACTCAATTTCTGGCCTTCGATTCTGGAACAATGATGTGTGGTAAAGTTCGTTGAATATCGTTAACATTTACATTTGAATTTATGTTCGAAGTGTTGACTTTCTAAAAATCAGTGTCATAAGATTGAGCATTGTAATGAGCTTATGAATGCTCAGCTCCATCTGTGAATTAATGTCATGCTTCAGACATATCATATGAACAATACGAATTGTTAATTTTATATTGACGTGATCATTATTTTGATTGTTGTCATAATTGAATTCAAGTTCATTTTGAGGATAATCAGAATGAGTTAACTGGATATTCTTTTTATTTTTGTAAACATTTTCATACTGATTTACATCTTGAATAAACAATTCAGTCAGGGTAATCTTTTAAGATGGCATTCAAGTGTTACAGAATGTTATATATTTATGTATTTGAAATATGCAGCTACATATTCAAAAACAAAACACATTTCAAAATGAATAAAAATGTTCATCACTATGACACTAGAACAAAAAATAGATTTCATGTGCCATATGCAAGACTAAGAATAACTTCATTTGCACCAGAATACATTGGAATAAAAATATTCGACAAACTGCCCGATCATTTAAGGGAAGAACATAATTATGTGATGTTTAAGAGAAATTTAAAGAGTTTTCTAATTGAACAATGTTTTTATTCATTGAATGAATTTTTTAGATTAGATAAGTAGGGTATTATTTTAGTTTTAAGGTGTTGTTTCAACTTGTATGTTTCTTATACTCTGTTTTTATCTTTATTTTTATTTCTTTTATTGACTATTCCTATACAATGTATATTATCTACACGGAAATAAAGTATTATTATTAAGTATTCATAAGTTCAGATTTATATCGACTTGTATGTGGATGGTTACGACTTATTTGATATTGTCTGTTTTGGAAATATGGGTGTCTTTGAGTGGGATTGATATTTGTGAGTGTGAATGTTTTTTGGGAATTTTGAAGCAATATATGTCCTTGTTTGTGTGGTCTACAGAAATTATTTGGAAAAGATGGTTTGTTAAATGGGCTTTGAAATTGTTGCTGTTGGTATTTATTTTGAAAATTTGGTCTTGTAAAATTATTTAGAAGTCAAGACATAAACTGGTGTAGGTGACATATTTGTTGGGAGTATAACCGTCTATGAAGTTTTTTTTTAATTTGTTGGTGTAATTCTTTGCAAAGGTTTAAAATCATTTTGAAAATTCATAGCATTATCTCTATGTTGACTATAAAGGAATTTTTCTTCTTCGATAACCAAAGATATTACTAAATTGATGGATGTAGCCGTTACTATGTGGTAGGAAATCATAATGAAGAAAAGAGAAAAACTTTCTATGTTTTTTACCACTTTTATTTGTAACTAACGTTACTGCAGTTTCGTCCTATACGGACATTTTCAAACTTACACAATAAACTAACAATGATTCATTACATTAGGCATTATATACCACCCCTGTAGGTCCTAATACAGGTACTTGGCTTCATTGAGAACCTGAATTTACAGTCACAATGCGGATCTGCCAATTTGAAAATCGGTGAGTAAACTAAATCGATTTGATCATTCAACAGGTTGCACCCCCAATGTTTATGCTTGTGAATTTCCAAAGATTCTACATAATTGAGTTTATAATCCTTCCTTGCATAGTGCAAAATTTCCGTATCGTTTAGATTTGGAAACTTGTGGGTGCATGCCAAGGAATGGTTTGAAAACGCCGAATCATTTTTTCCTAGTCCGAGGGACCTTTCATATTCAACATACCGTTTTTGGAAATTTCGGCCACATTGTCCCACATAAACACTATTACACTCCGGACACTCAAGCTTATAAACTCCAGATTTCTCCAACTTGTTCACCTTTTCTCTGAAGAAACCCGAAATTATCTCAGTTCTTTTTCCAAAATATGTTAGCGTTACCCATTTCTTGATTTCTGGTTGTTTGACCTGAGGGTATATTAATCTGTAAGTGAATTTCTGGCTTTGTTTCCTGACTAACTTCTGGATAGTATCTGTGTTGAAATCATTTTTATGACCTATCTGTGTAATTATATCAACATCCCTAGCTAGATTGTTAGCAGACAAAGGTAGTGAGAATGATCTGTGCAACACTGAATTGTAGGCTGCTAATTTATGACTGTCTGGGTGGAAATAATCACTTGGGATGGTGATGTCTGTATAGCTAGGTTTTCTGAAAACAATGAACTCAAATTTATTCTGATTGTGTGTAATAGTCAGGTCTAAGAAACAGATAAATTTCTTAGACCTAGATAACAAATAAATTTCTTAGACCTGACCATTACACACAATCAAATAAATTTGAGTTCAACCTAGTTATACATCACCATCCCAAGCGATTCTTTCCATCCAGACAGTCATAAATTAGCAGCCTACAGTTCAATGTTGCACTGCCTTTGTCTGCTAACAATATAGCTAAGAAAATTGATATAATTACAACAGATAGGTCATAATGGTTTCAAGGCAGATACTATGCAGAAGTTAGTCAGGAAACAAAGCCGGAAATTAACTTACAGATTAATATACCCTCAAGTCAAACAACCAGAAATCAAGAAATGGGCAACACTAACATATTTTGGAAAAAGAACAGAGATAATTGCGTGTTTCTTCAGAAAAAACAATGTAGAAGTGGCATTCAGACCACATGCCAGGTTATCTCATTTCCTTTTCAATGCTAAAGATAAAGTGGACAAGTTGGAGAAATCTGGAGTTTATAAGCTTAAGTGTTCGGAGTGTAATAGTGTTTATGTGGAACAATGTGGCCGAAATGTCTAAAAACGGTATGCTGAACATGAAAGGTCTTTCAGACTGGAAAAAATGATTCGACGTTTTCAAACCATTCCTTGGAATGCAACCACAAGTTTCCGAATCTAAACGATACAGAAGGATTACAAACTCAATTATTTAGAATCATTGGAAATTCACAAGCATAAACATTGCGGGTGCAACCTGTTAAATGATCAAATCGATTTAGTTTACTCACCAGTTTTTAAATTGGCACATCCGGATTGTAAACTGCAAATTCAGGTTCTCAATCAAGCCAAGTACCTCTATTAGTATCTACAGGGGTGGTATATAAGAGCTAATGTAATAAACCATTGTTAGTTTACTGTATAAGTTTGAAAATGTCCTTATAGGACGAAACTGCAGTAACGTTAGTTACAAATAAAAGTGGTAAAAAACATAGGAAGTTTCAATATATTTGGTGAGCCAATTGAACAGACTGGTACATGGAAACGTGACTCATAATTGGTTAATAATTTTTCCGAAAATCCTGAAAATTCTTGGTTTGATATTAACTGTAATTTAGTCTCAAAAATATATCCCCCTTAAGCTTTCTTCCTCGGTTTAGATTTGATTTGAGTAACAGGTACAGAAAATATACATTTTAGAGTCCTAAGTAAATCGAAAACCGATTACTTTGGTGATAGATACAATACCTTGATATACAACAAAAAGCCAGGTATAGAAAATATACATTTTAGAGTCCTAAGTAAATCGAAAACCGATTACTTTGTTGATAGATACAATACCTTGATATACAACAAAAAGCTATGTAACACGTGCTTTTATATTGAAAGGAAATATCACATAATACCCAAACTAAAATATGTCATCTTACCCAAAATTTATTAAAGAACTCTGGACACTATTCAAACCAAAAATTAATTGTAGATTCAGCACAATATCGCCAAAATAATTTCTTTGAAAAGTGTAATTTTAGAATAACTCTGCCGGTCAACCGGGAATATGAAAAGAAATGACAGCAATTCGTCGTTTTAACGAGAAGGGGAGAGAAGCAGGGTTATCTATAAGGTGAGTTGAGATTCAAAAATTTTGGTCGCCATGTTCTTGACGTCATTGGAAGGGAAAACAGCCCTAAATTGGATACAGCCCTAAATTGAATACATTCAATGTATTATATTTAGTACGATTGAAACCACAAATGTGCGGTTAGCTCCTGTTGGTGACACCGTGCATATGTGATGTTTTTCACAGTGATGGGATCATTCGAATTAAAAATAATCGGTCATTCGATTATTGCAATCACTCGAAATATCTCAAGATGTAAAATGGAATCATTCGAATGATCTGAATCATTCGAATGTATTGAATGTATCGAATCAAATTAGTAGTGAGTGAAATAGTCGAAAACAGTATTAAAGTCTTGCGCCGCTATGCAGCAGTACAGTGCCTGGCTATATACTGACATTTGTTTGTAGGATGTTGTGAAATACAGGTTTGGGTTGAGAATGTTCAGAAATTTGTTGACGATAAACTTTGAATGAGTACAAATACAAACTTTATTGAAATTTAATGGTGGCTTGTTAAAATATATTGAAAGCATAAACAAAAAATAAAAGTCCTCACAAAAATGAAAATCAATCAAATGTTGGTTTAAATTGGTAGTGTTACCAAAAAACTTGCAAATTCGACACTGAACTTGACCATTTTCTATTTTGTCGAAATGGTCCCAAATAATAAATTTCTTAGTTCTAGGCCGCATTGTTCAATATCAAAACAGTAATAATAACGGAATGAAGGTATCAACTACACAATAAATAAGAGTAGAAAAAATAATGGAATATATGGGTAATAACAAAAATTTCGTTACAACGGCTTCGAATCCTCCAAACTGAAAAATTATTGACACTGTTCAGTGCTCTCTGTTTGTATTCTTAGTGCGACAAATTCAAACAATTCTAACCCATAAAGTAATCCAGTTCATTCCGAATTTCGCCATTCATGTGGGCGTTTCACATGGCACATGACCTCATGAGCATCGAGTGATTGCGTGATTATTGCTCGAATCGCCGAAACTCGAATTAAATCGGTGAGTGACGAGTGATTTAATTCGAATGATATTTCGATTTTTGGGATCACTCGAGTAATCATCATTCGATTCTCAGAATCATTCGATTATGCCCATCAATAGTTTTCATTTTTGGTAACCCGTTGTTGTCTATCTTTGCAACTGACTGCACCGCGCCGATGAGGCCAATGACCAGAAACACGTGTCCACGGTTTGCCCCCATTTTTTGAGTGTTCTGTCCACGAATTTTCCTCTCTTGACAGATGGGCTGTTACAAAGAAAACTCTTTGTTATATGTCAAGCTTTCAGTATATTTCACACCTTCGTCAGGACAACTACAATAATAAGATTATATATCTTGTAAAAAATATATAAATATGAATATGACCACAGAATTTTGTTTGAGAACACAGAATTAATTGCCCCCAACTAGGGATACCATAGCCGACTGGTACGGGAGGCAATAGAGATCCACAAACACACGGATAATTTTAACAGAAAAGAAGAAGCTGTGAACCTCAATCAAATATGGAACCCCATTTTGAGGAATTCGAGAATAACGAACAGGACAACAGGCAGCAAGATTGTTAATGTTCCAGGTTAAAGTGCAGGTACGAATACAGGTACAAATGCAGGTACAAATACAGATACAAATACAACTGATTACCTGACAAGGCATAAATACGCTTTACGAAGCCTAAAAGGTAGTCATCGTACAGCAAGCCATGATGGTTAAACTTCTGAAGAAGCTAGCCACTCGCGCCAGCGAAACGTCAGGAAGAAATTCCAAAAATCCACGGCTTTCAAATTCGAAAAGCAGCAATAACACTGAAAACCTCAGCCGTGAAAGTCAAAACCATTGACCCAGATGTCGCGCAGGTAGCTGTAGCCAGTCCATTAACCTACAGTGTAGGNCTTCATTTTTATAATCATAATCCAGAAGGGCAAGGGCTGGAGAGAAAAGTGATTCTCATCTGATATAAATATATCATTTACGTTTGTGGATTGTATACTGACTAATAAATCATCTAAATCATTCTTACAATTCATATGATTGGAATGAAAATAATTTTGGCAAAACAACTTCCGGAATGCCCTTTGAAATTGTATGGGGGTCGGATTAAAATTATTTCCGCATTGTTGTCTTACAGCACCAAAAAACATTTCAACACAATCTGAATTGAGTCATCTCGTTTTTAAATATTTATAATTTGATTTGGAAAGCTTATTTCATATTTTAATTACACTATTCATGGAAATAATCCAACATTTTCTAAATCTGACTCGATTTGTGACATGTTTGTCCTCCGAATTGAAAATTTCAAGATTTTTCAAAAACGTTAGAGCCTCTTCAAAAAAATCTAATTGGAATTTCGAACCTTGAAGGACACGAATTCAACAAATCAAAAAGTTTATTGAATGTCTCTATTTCTTGTATTGTACCAAAAGAAGAAGCAGGAAGTAAGTTCATTGCCACGAATGCATTCATTCCACTGGCAACTGTACGGCTCAGAATTTGTGTTGCTAGACCCACTTTCATTTTTTCAAAATGTTTGGATTGATATGTGATTTGGTAAGATTTGGTGCGAATCTATAAAATTGCCCTATGTCTTGCTCATAAAAAGAGCGCACAAAAGACCAAGATGTATTTTTGTTTTCAAAATGAAATGAATGTTTTAAAAAATTGTTTCTAGTGGCTTTTATCAAATGACTTGGATCAAAAATATAAACAAGTTTTTCACCACCGAGATCAAATTCAGATTCTTCTAAAGTGACCCCTGATAACTTTGACAATTGATAAAAGTTACAGCCCATGTCACTCACAATGCCATCAACATGCAGACCTATTGGATAATTTAGAAATGCACTTATCCAAAATATCACGTAGATTTTTTGCTGGTAGCTGTGATTCAATGAAAAAAAAGCAATCGGTTGTTTCCAGGGAGAATAAAGTCCTCTAGCCATAATAACGAGAACATTTCTACTCATGGAATTCCTCTTATTTGCCTCTCCAATATCTTCGAAACCAAGAATTTCATCACATCCTGTATCAAAAAAAAAGATTGGATTTTGAAGCCATCTCATCTATAGATATCACATATCGCTTGTCCTGTTCGAGCATTGTTTTAATTTTAATTTCAAGTGCCTTAAATTTTACTGAATTTTCCAAGCCCGGCCTACATGATATTTTTTGGGTCATCCTTTGCAAACATCGTTTTGTTGGAAGAGTCAATAACTTGCTAAGACGCCTATAATTCTTAGAACTTGAAAAGTAGTTGATCAAAGCAAACTGCTTCACTTCTGAAGAATATCTGCGAGATATAGGTTTCTTGTTTTTTTGTACAACATGCGATTTTATCACTTCCGATAAAGGATTCTTAAGAAACGCATCACACCCTTTTAAAAACGTATTCACTGATAACCCTGTTGTCGTTTTAGAATCCGTTTTTGATTTTCTCCATTCGTAAAATTTTCAATTTACTTCGCAATGTTCGTTTTCGTGAAGTATTGCTGCTTAATTTCGACTCAGTTTGTTCTTGCTTAAATAGCATAATTTTAATGTATACCGAGTTAGGTAGGTATCTTTTGTAACTAACTACCTACCTCATTATGTTTGCACAGTGTTCACAGACTAATGGCACAGTATTTCTGTATACAAAATACTGTGCTAATGGAGACAACTAAGTCCAAGAATGACGTGGGGACATCCAAGTCGACGCATGCGTCTACGAAAAAGGGACACAAAATGGCCGTCTTTGTCGCTTCCATGTGGTAGGTATTCTCGGCCGTGAGTGAGAGACAGGTTATGTTGTTGTCAGTGTAGTTGTTTATCTTTTTCCGGGTTTTCCAGTTTAATCTATTATTGTCAACTCGAGTAAACCTAAAATAAATTTGGATTTATAAATTCAAGTGATTGCAAGAAAAAATGGTGAACCTGGAAATATATTCAGGTGTTGTTTAGATACTATTTGCTGCATTTACTTTTGAAGAGTTTGATGGCTTCTTCTCAAGATGCTTGGTACCTATCCCTTTTGGGTTTAGCGGAACATTTTCGTACTTCAAGCCCACCTATGATAAAACTGTGTGTTCAGTGTTTGCAAGCAGTGTTTAATTTTAAACCTCCTCAAAGGGTAGAAGCAAGAACCCACTTACAACTCGGTAACATACTTTTGAGTCATACAAAGAATGTAGACTTGGCGAAGAATCACTTGGAACAAGCAGTAAGATAATTTCAGAATAATGTAATTAGGAATTGAAAATGCATCAGAGTCTAGGTAAATTTAACCCAATGCCCAGAATATCAGAATTACTGCTACAGTTCATTAATGCGCCGGTATAGAGACGTGTGAGTACATCAACTGGCTGGCTTCATATAAGTACTTTAGTCAATACAGTGGCAGGAGTCAAGTTTTTGTCTATTTTTTTTCATGTCACATTTCTTCCCAATATGCCAGTTTCAATGATAGCTATTCAATTTCATCCTTATTTTATGATGATGCAGGGTAATATGGTAAAGTAAGGTAAATCATTGAGATAACGTTTTTGTGTTCTAGGTAAAGCCCAAAGCGAAGTAATTTTGGTGACTGTCACCCACGAATCTAAAGTTCTATGGTCTTAACTTAAACACGGTTTCCAAAATCGTCTGGAAATATTCAATGCTGCAAATCAGAACAAAAATGTTCAAAAGTCAACTAACAACTAATAACTTCAAAAAGAACTTCATTGACAACTTCTCAAATCTGGATAGCCAGATTGAACATAGAAATGTGTCATATATCCTCCCACCTGAGGAACGATATCAAGAAAGTGATCCACGTGAAAATAAAAGACATTTCTTAAGTACAAATGGAAAATATTACATACTCATATACTGAAACGTTTTGGTGGCTTATAAACTCGGCCTCTTTGTGTAATTTTCACAGTTTGGTGTATCAGATTCACTAACACGCA